ATTGTGAGGTACAGCCTGTTGGGAGATCAGCTGAGTTCTTGGGGCTAAGGAATGTCCTGGATCAAGCCTAATCTAGACAACTAACTTCTTGGGACCTTGATTTTCCCAAGCCCTGTTCCCATTCCTTGGAGAAAGTTGGACAGCCAGCCTGTGGATGCTGGTGCTGAGGGGCCAGGTCAGCAGTTACTCCTGCCCTTTCAATCTCTCACAGTGTGAAGGAGCAAAACCTCTCCCAGAGCATAAGGACCACCCACCCCAGTGCAGAGCTGTGCAAACCTGAAAAGACTTGTAGACTGGAATCATGGTCCAGGTTCATGGGAGAGTGATCCTGGAGGCTTTCAGTGAGCAAGACCTGGAGGGAGCATGTCCCAGCTGTCAGGGACCTTCCCTTCCCCTTGAGCCTGACACATGCGTGCTCCCTCAGCACCAAAGCTTTCTGTGTATCACTTTGAAATGATGTGCTCACTTATCTGAGGGCCAGGTTTATTTATTCAGAGCCAAATGGGATGGACTATTATTAAAGAGGCAAGAAAGAATTGGATTTTAAAGTCTAGTTATATTTTCATTGTCAAAATTCCCAACTTACAGCCAGGCTGCTCCAGGGGCTGAGACAGGAGTGTTGCAAATTTGAGGACAGCCTCAGCAACTTAGCTGGGCCTTATGCAACCTGGTGAGACTGCATCTCAAAATAAAATATAAAAATGACTGGGGATGTGGATCAGTAGTAAAATATCTCTGGGTTTAATTTGGGGGGTACAAAAAAAAAAAGAACACACCTAATTACTCAATTTACCATTTGCTACCCCTGAGTTTATATAGAATGTTTGTAAGATTCAATCTTGTCTTTTCAGTGTTTTCAAATTGAAATGTAGTCCTAGATTCCAAAATCCCACATAAGATACAGAAAAACTCTGTCTTGCATTATTGCTGCAGATTTTGAGTCCAATTCTACAAAAATAGTGGTGGATAAATTTATGAATGTGGTTTCATGAAAACTAGTATCTGCCCTTCACAAGGTGATGAATTCAACAAAGGATGACAGTTTTTCACTGTTGTTGTCTGGACTTGGCAGGTTCATGGTTTTTTTGGTATCAGGAATGGAGCCCAGAGGTGCTTAACCACCAGCCCCTTTTAGATTCTTTGTTTTGGTACAGAGTTCTCGGCGGACACAACATCTTTGTTTGTATGTGGTGCTGAGGATTGAACCCGGGCCGCACGCATGCCAGGCGAGCGCGCTACTGCTTGAGCCACATCCCCAGCCCAATGTAATTTTTTTAAAATTTATTTTTCAGTTTTCAGTTTATATAACATCTTTATTTTATTTTTATGTGGTCCTGAGGCTCGAACCCAGCGCCCTGCGCATGCGAGGCGAGTGCACTACTGCTTGAGCCACATCCCCAGCCCCATTCATTGTAAATTTTAATGACAATTTTGACAATACCTGAAATACCCAACTATGATCATTTAACCACTGAATATCAGTGAAATAGTAAATGACACTTGTTTTCTGGAAAGGAGAAATACATGCACCTAAATAAGGGTGATGATCCCCTCAAGAGCACTCCCACTATGTCACCTGATTCCTGTTCCCTCCTAAGTGCCTCCTCCTAGGGCCACCCCTTTGGGAGCTGGCCTTTTACCTTATGAAATTTGGGTGCAACATAAATGCTCTCTCTACTGTCTCTGTTCTGTACAAAATTTTGACTTGTCTTGGATACAGTCTAATATTTTGAATTTTTTTTAGAGAATTTTTTTAATATTTATTTATTTTTTGGTTTTTGGCGGACACAACATCTTTGTTTGTATGCGGTGCTGAGGATCGAACCCGGGCCGCACGCATGCCAGGCGAGCACGCTACCCCTTGAGCCACATCCCCAGCCCTTCTATTTTCAATTTTTTGAAAAGTATTTTTTGTTATTTGCTGTAGGTGGACACAATACCTATTTATTTATTTTTATGTGGTGCTGAGGATCAAACCTAGGACCTCTCATGTGCTAGGTAAGCACTGTACTGCTGAGCCAGAATCCCAACCCTACTATTTCCATTTTTAGATGTAGTTTTCCATATGTTTACCTACAAAATACAGTAAACCACGCCCTAAATTTCACAGAATTTCCTGAAATGCTCAGTGTTTTTTAAGAGAGTTTTGATCATGCTAGCATTCAATCTCCTTTGTGAGAAAGTGTGTTCTTTTAGTTGATTTTGTTGTATTCTATGCCTCTAATTGTGTAGCTTTTGTATTATAATCATTTTTATGTATTTTATTTTATTTATTTATTTTTTGTGTGTGTGTGTTTGTGTGGACTGCTGGAGATTGATCCAGTGGAGGGCCACATACATGCTTGGGAAGTTTTCTACAACCGAGCTATTCTCCAGCCCAAGAGAATTAGTATTGTAGACTGTTGTTTATTTACTTGCTTACTTATTGCGTGCTGAAGATTGATGCCATGGACTTGCTCATGCTTAGTTACCCTCCAGAAATGATTTTCAATTTGTGAGCAGTGTTCTGGAGGTGGGCAGGTGTTTTACTGGGGAATAAACTAACAGGCACTTTGCCACAAAGCCCATTCTCAGCCCTTCTTCTTATTTATTTATTATTTCTTGTTCTTTTATATATATATATATATATATATATATATATATTTTTTTTTTTTTAATTTTTTTGTATACTTGTACATGGACAGAATACATTTATTTTGTTTGTTTATTTTTCTGTGGTGCTGAGGATCATATCGAGTTCTGCAAACATGCTAGGAAGTGCTCTGACACTCAGCTACAATTGTAGTACCCATTTTTATTTTTGACGAAGACCAGTCTCACTAAATTTCTGAGTGTCTTGCTAAGTTGCTGAGACTGGCCTCCAACTTGCCGTTTCCCTGCCTTGACTTCCCTAGTGGCTGAAATTATAGGTACACACCACCACACCAGCAGTTGAATGACTTTGAAGACTTATCATCCAATTTGTTTCTGGATGAAAATAGTATTCAAAATCAGTTTATTTGCTTTTGTCCATACTTTTGAAATTTGTAAATATGACTCTTCCTCTTTGTTTTATTTTTGCATTATTATGAAAAAGTTATTTAGCATACAATATTGTTTCTTATGTAGATATTTGTAAAACTTCATGGCTTGATAGTTTATTCACTTCTTTATTATATAAACTTTATTTTATGAGCAATTTAGGCTTACGTAATTTATTAGTCAGTGTTCTCTAGAGGAACAGCATCAGTATGATGTATGATTATAAAAGGGGAGGTATTAGATTGGCCTACTTGACCTGAAGCTGGATGTCCACAGTGGCCACCTCCCGCTGGAGAGCTTGAGAAGTAATAGCTACAGAGTCCAACAGGCTGAAGCCTCAGAACAAGAGGGATCAATGGTGCTGCCCTAGTCCAGACCAACGGTTCTGGAAACTACCTGGAGAGTGAAGAAGGAGGAGTCTGATATCCTCAGACCATTGCAGCAGCCATCAAGAACCCATTGAGAAGAAAGGAGCTTGCTCTGCTGCTGCTTCCTTCTTCTTCCAACTTTTGTGCCTCCCAAGACACCATCCTATTGGATGGTGCTGCCTAGCTTAAGGAGGTTCTCCAGTTTGATTCGCTGTTCCACATGCCAATCATTTGTAGACACACCCTCATGGACACACCCCAAAGCTTATTAATCACTGTATCTTTTAATCCAATCAAGGTGACAATTAAATGTGCCATTACTCATAGTATCAAATACCCCTTCTCTCCAGCCGATAGTCTCCACTGTTTTCAACATATTGCATTGGTGTAAGGTGTTTGTTAGTTACTAAACCAGGGTTGAACATTTGATAAAGAGAATGGATGAAGCAAAACGTTATCATAAGCCAAAGTTCACCATTTACCTTAGGTTCCTCCTCTGTGTGATGTGATTGTGTGTGTCACATAGTATACAAGAAAATGTACAGAAGAGTTTCACTGCTCTGGGAATCCTGTGTTCCACCTGTTCATCACTCCTCTCATTCCTTCCTCCCTCTGTGCTCCCTGAGTCCCTGGCACCCATCAGTTCTGCTAGTGCATCTATAATGTTGTTCATTCCAGAATGTTCTTGACTTGGAATCTTGCTGCACTTGGCCATTTCAGACTGGCTTCTCTCACTTTCCAGTCTGCCTTTAAGGGTGCTGTATCTTCCCAGGCTGCAGAGCTCACTTTCTGGGTGATGTTCTTTGAGATGGCCAAACTGCAGCTTGTCCATTCAGTATTGAAAGATGCATCTTCCTTGCATCTAGCTTTGGGCAGTTCTGGATATGGATGCTGTAGTCACTGTAGTGAGGGTTCCTGTGCCCATAATTTTCACATCATTTTTATAGACACCTGAAGTGTGATGACTTAATCATACAGTTTTTTGCATTCATGATTGAATTTTGCATTTGTGATTATGAGCATCATTGATAGTTTTCTATTTAATACTTTTCTTGATCCAGTTAATTTGGATAATATGGTAATTTATGCCTCAGAAAGAATTAGAAGATTTTAACTGAGCTTCTATGTTCTGGAAAAAAATGTAGAAAATTGGTGGCAGTTTTTATGTGTCTCATGGAAACCTGTTTGTGATGTTAGAGCCTTGCCTTACCTTTTTTAGTAGTAATTAGTTATTGAGTCTATTTTTTTCAGGAGCCATATGCTCATCTATTTTGTCTATTTCCCCTCGTGTGTAAAAATAAAAAACTGTCTCTCTCACTGAAATGGTCCAGTTTTTGCAAGTTGCCTAATTTGTGTCAAGCACATTTAAGATAATCTTGAAGTCCCAATGCATTGTGGATGATGAGAATTTTAAATCTGTTAGTAGGTTTTCAGTCCTCTTTGCATTTCTCTTTAATGTTATTGTATAATTTACACTTTTATTTCGTTCTTTTTATGTGTCAGTGAGGATTGAACCCAGTTTTTCCCAGGCACTAGACAAGCACTCTTCCACTGAGCCGCATCCCCAGTCCCTGTCCTCTGTACTCTTAGCCTTATGTCAGTTTATCAGTGATGCTGATGTTCATGAAGAAGTTGAGTTTGCGGACTGTGGGTTTCCTCATTGGGGTTTCATCCACACCTTCTCTGTTACCTTCCTGTGGTTAATTTAGGTTTACCTTGCTCTTCTTTCTCTGGTTTTTTGAAGTGACAGTTTCAATAATTGCTTTTAGCTCCTTTCCTGAAATGTGTGTTGGATGACTTCGATACCAATACAGCACACCTCAGGTATTCTCTATGAATTTCCTGTGAGGGAATTTTACATTTTTCTCCTTAAAAATGGTCACATTTTCTCTTGAGTCACCACTTTGTCCTGTGTCTGTTTAGAGTCTTGTTTCATGTCCCCTTCCCTGGAGGCTTTTCACCTGCTCCTGATCTGATTTCTGCTTTTGCTCTCATGATCTTTGGGCATACATGGGATTTCACTGGTGGTGCACTTGTAGGGGTGTGGGTTATGTCCTGTGGAGTGTTTCTGTGACCCAGAGTCCTCAGTGTGCTTCCCAAGGGTTGAAGGCCCATGAAGCCCTCCTGCCTGCATCAGTGTCCTGACAGAGTTGGGCTGATGTCTCTGAGTGTAAATGTGCATTCTTCATTGTTTTGGGTGGTTCTGTATGTTCTCAGTCCCTGCGTGTGGTTCTGTGTCAGTGGCAGGGACATTTTCTTTTTGCCTGTTCCATCACGGTGCAGACATCATAGCATGCTTACAGATGTGATTGGTGGCCTGTTTCACACCCAGACTGTGTGGGATAGTTCAGGAATCTGGGCTACAAACTTGTTGCTTTACCACACTCTGGATGATCTTCTCCCTTAGGTTTGTTGGCACCACCATTGCTGCAGGCACGATGAATCTCTTTCACAACAGACAACCATTGCACATAAAGCCCAACATTGATCAAAATGTCCTTGAGCAGAACATTGGTATGTGTCTCATGACTACATTATGGTAGTGAACCGGCTGCTGTTAAGAAGAGTTTGACAATCATTGAACATGCCTTGTTGCTCTGAGACTTGGAAATGTAGTGCCTTCTGTTTATTAAGAAGATTGTTTTGAGAGTTATAAAATTTTGTAAGGCTGTTGTTTGGACAAGGTGACATTTTTGGGTCATTGAGTTATTTTTAAGACATGTGCCATCTTTCACTTCCCCCATTCTCGTTTGACAGTAGCCACAGGAAATTATCAAATTGTTGTGTTTATTAATAAATAAATTAAATTAATCAAATAGAGAACTCATGTTTGTTTTGGCCATTTAATAGTAAGCTAGTTAACTAAATTTGTTCTGGAGTAAAGCACCTGCAAACTTCTAGGTGTTCTCAGTGTAATCACACAGGATGAGCTCAATCTCCAGCTTATGCATTGTGACAACCTGTGTGAAAGTTTGTCTAAATGTTGTCTGTAAAGGTATCTTTTTAGTGACCCCATGCCCAGAGGGTGTGCGTGGGGGCTGGTTCTAGGCATTTCTTTAAGTATGGAACAATAGACTTTCAGAGGAAACAAGACATCAGTAAATACCATGTTGTCTATATTAACTTTGTAGGTACAGGGAGCCACTGTAATTGGCAGAATCTCTTAGTTTCATGATTCCTGCAATTTCCTACTCATCACCTTTGTTTTCTAAACATAAGTACTATCAAAAGTGCTTATATTAGCTCTGTACCACACAACACATTTCTAGGACATGTGATAGAGATGCAACCAATAAAGAAGTTAGGAGTAATCTGGGAACCTGTCTTACTTCCTGTGAACTCACCAAAGAAAAGGTATAAATCACTATGATGTTTGCCTTCTGAGTAGCCAATTTCTAGTGTTGGAATGGCTGGAAGAAGTTGAGTACAGTAAAGATTTGATGGACCAAATCGTGGAATTAATCGAGAGTCCAGGGAATCATATGAACATCATGCATGTTGAGTATAGATTTCTCATGCTGTCAATCTCTCCTGGCCTCCACTATACATTTGGGGGGATATTTTAGATCTCAGTGACCTTTGAGGATGTGGCTGTGAACTTTACCCAGGAGGAGTGGGCTTTGCTGGATCCTTCCCAGAAGAACCTTTACAGAGATGTGATGCTGGAAGTCCTCAGAAACCTGGCTTCTATAGGTAATAATGACATTTCTAAAATTAATCAAATCGAGAACTCATGTTTATTTTGGTCATTTATGCAGAAGGTGAAAAGGGAATCAATTGGTGAATTATTGCAGCATAAATGGCACCTAGGATTTGGCAAAGCATTTCTAGCTCCTAAATACTCATAAAGATTGTTCTGTTCTAATTTTAGGAAAGAAATGGGAAGACAAGATCACTGAAGACCATATTGAAAACTCTGTGAGCAATGTAAGGTAAGTGTACTCACAAGAGGAGTCCACGACGGGGTCTGAGAACTGTCATATCATTTTTAAAGTAAACCAACCAAAGAAGTATGCATAATTTGAGAAGTATTTATTCTTATAGTGTTTTTTACCAGAAATATATACTTAGCTGTAACAGATATTCAGTCTTTTCAAAGTATCTGACATTCAAAAAGTACTATGAAATTGCATATGTGAATACCACTATTTGGATAATAGCCATAGAGAAGCTGTGTTGAAAAGGATTGTTTGCTTTCAATCTCCTTATTTTTAGGCAAGTTGAACAAGTCAGCAAACCTAGCCTTTACCTGATGTTGGTAGTAATGTAAAGATCTATCAATACATAGAAAATGGTGAATGAATCAAGCATTGATTACGTGCTGGTCACTTCTTCTTCCTTAAAGAAGTCATATGGTAAACTCAAAGGCACAAAATAGTGTGGGAGAACCTTCAAATCGATTCCAATTCTTACTTGAACAAAGAAAAATTTTAATAGAGTAAATCCATGTCACTTCATTATGTGTGCAAAAGACTTCATATGACCTTCATTCCTTCATAGGCAGATCACATCATACTCTGGACACAAATACTACAAGCATGAGGAATGTGAAGAGAAGCCATGTGAATTTAAACAATGTAAGAATTCTCTGGTTTCTCCCAAAGATATTCACACACAAATGTTAATACAAACTGGAGATGGATTTTATGAATCTACAGTACATGGGAAAGTCATCAGTCACTCCAGTGACATTCAAAGGCATGGAGATACTCATACTGGGTGGCAACGCTATATATATCAGCAATGTGGTGAAGCCTCTTCTTATCCCACCAGTGTTCCAAGACACATGATAACACACAGTGGACATAAACTTTTTCAATGGGACATATGTAGGAAAGCCATTCATTTCTCCTCTTTATTTAGAAGACATGAAGGAACTCATTGTGGAGAGAAACTCCATGAATGTAAACGAGGTGGTCAGACCTGTATTTCATACACAAGTCTTCAAAGGCACAGGATCACACACATGGGGAAGGAAGGTTTCAATTGTAAGGTATGTGGGAAAGACTTTGCTTATCCCAGTTTACTTAGAGTACATCAGAGAAGGCATACTGGAGAGAAGCCCTATGAATGTCAACAGTGTGGAAAAGCCTTTACTACTGCCTCTGGCCTTCAGAAACATGAACGAACTCATACTGGAGAGAAGCCCTATGAATGTAAGCAGTGTGGGAAAGCCTTCACTCAGTCCTCTCACCTTCACTCACATGAAAAAACTCATACTGGAGAGAAGCCCTATGCATGTAAGCAGTGTGACAAAGCCTTTGCTACATCCACTAAGCTTCACAGACATGGAAGAATACATATTGGAGAGAAGCCCTATGAATGTAAGCAGTGTGGAAAAGCCTTTTCTACATCCAGTTCTCTTCAGATTCATGGAAGACTGCATACTGGAGAGAAGCCCTATGAGTGTAAGCAGTGTGGCAAAGCCTTTGCTACATTCAGTTACCTTCAGTCACATGAAAAAACTCATACTGGGGAGAAGCCCTATAAATGTGAGCAGTGTGGAAAAGCCTTTTCTACATCTAGTAACCTTCAGATTCATGGAAGAAGACATACTAGAGAGAAATGCTCTGAATGTCAACAATGTGGAAAAGTCTTCACTACTGCATCTGGCCTTCAGATACATGAACGAACTCATACTGGAGAGAAGCCATATGAATGTAAGCAGTGTGGGAAAGCCTTCACTCATTCCTCTAACCTTCACTCACATGAAAAAATTCATACTGGAGCGAAGCCCTATGATTGTAAGCAGTGTGGCAAAGCCTTTGCGAGATCCAGTCACCTTCACTCACATGAAAAAACTCATACTGGACAGAAGCCTTATGATTGTAAGCAGTGTGGCAAAGCCTTTACTACATCCAGTTACCTTCAGATTCATGGAAGAGTGCACACTGGAGAGAAGCCCTATGCATGTAAGCAGTGTGGCAAAGCCTTTGCTACATCCTCTATGCTTCACAGACATGGAAGAATACATACCAGAGAAAACCGCTATGAATAACAATGTGGAAAAGCTTTTGCCACATCCTGTCTGCTTCATACAAGTGAAAGAAGAGATACTGCAGAGAAATCGTATGCATGTAAACAATTGGTAAACTTTTCTATTATTACTGTTTCACTCATATACCTGTAGGACGTTACTGGAGAAAAATCCTTTGAATGTAAAACATGATAAATCAATATTTCATGTCATCCTCAAAGACAAGGAAGGACTCACACTGCTGAAAATTTGTGTGTGTGTGTGTGTGTGTGTGTGAGAGAGAGAGAGAGAGAGAGAGAGAGAGAGAGACTGGGGATTTATTCTGGTTGTGCTCTACCACTTAGCTACATTCCAGTTACTTTTTATTTTGAGACAGGGACTTGCTGCATTTCTTAGGGTCTTCCAAAGGTGCTGAGGCTAGCCTCCAACGTTGATCCTTCAGAATCAGCCTCTCAAGTCTCAGGAATTAAAGGCATACACCACCACTTCCAACTGAGTAACTCTTTAAATGTATAAAATTTTCACAAATCATTCCATTTTTCCCTATTGCCTTCAAAGCCATTTCATTCCAATTGAAAAACAAACCCTCTGAATGTAAGCAGTGTGGCAACACCTTTGCTACATCCCATCAGCTTCATAAACATGGAAGAATACATACCAGAGAAAAGCCCTGGAGGGCTGGGGATGTGGCTCAAACGGTAGCACGCTCACCTGGCATGTGTGCGGCCCAGGTTCGATCCTCAGCACCACATACAAACAAAGATGTTGTGTCCGCCGAAAACTAAAAAAAATAGAAAGAAAGAAAGAAAAAAAGAAAAGCCCTGGAATACATACCAGAATACATACCAGAGAAAAGCTACATCCTGCCAGCTTCCCATCCAGCCCTGTTTTCCTTCTCATATATGAAAACACAGAGAGAAGCCCTGTGAGTGTGAGAAATGTGGGGAATCTAGTTTTCACAGTATTTTTCTAAGGACTGGGAAGATTCTTTTGGAATAAAAAGAATAAATCCTATGCAAGTAAGAAATATAAAGGGTTCAGCTCTTCTAGTTTTGTTCCATTGTATGAAAGGACTCACACTGTAGAAAATGGTGACTAGAAGCCATGTGAGCTAGTATTCAGCTTTCAGAGATTTCTTCAAACCCGTAAAGAACTCACATCTGGAAAGATCTTTTTTGTCTCTTTAAAAATTGTAGTAAGACTTTCAACTTTCCAGGTCCCTTTGAACAACATTTAAGAAATCACACTAGAGAAAAGCCCTGTATATAGAAATGTGGTAGGACCTTTGCTTGTTTCAGATCCATTTGAACTTGTTCAGACTTGAGGAAATTTTTATTTTATTTCATTTTATTTATTTATTTTGAGAAATCCACTGTAGGTGTGAGAAAAAGTGTGTGCCTTCATTTCTTTTTTTACCTATTCAGACGTAACAAAAATGCACCCTGGGTTGGAGTGGAGCATTGCATCAGCATGAAGATTTGAAAGCAATATGTTTTTCTGGGTTAAATCTCTCTTATTGTCAGATTCCATTTTCTTGTATTTTAAGTCTTTTGTGTCTAATGTTTCATTACATATTGTGTATGTTAGTTTAAGCCTCTCCACTCCAGCCTTTGGTTCAGATTGGTGAAATGTCTCTTCTGAACTACCTTCTTCTCTTTCTTTGTTCAGATTTCACCCAGGAGTGCTCTACCACTGAGTTTCTCCACAGTCTTTTTAATTGTTATTTGTTGAGATGGGGTGAGGCTGGGAGCTGGGACCATAGAGATGTGTCTGTGTACCCTGCAGCTGGCCTCTTTTCCCTGATTGCTTATTGATCTGTTGATGACTCTGGGACCCCACTCTTGTCACTTATGCTTGTTCTAAGTCTCATGTGTTGTATTGTATATAGGCCCATTAAAAACCATTATAATAGCATGTCATTTGTGTATATTATTTGGAGAGGCACTTTCTCTAAATATATTTTGCCCTATGCTTGGGTTGCTTTCTCTTTTCTTTTCCAAGTTCTGGAGACCCAATCCTGCCTCGTGCATGCTAGGCAGGCATTCTAGCACCTAGCACTCCCATAGCTCAGGTGGTGAGTTTGCTGATGCTGTGTGTGTGGACCCCACTAATGACCACATCAGCAGATGCAGCTCTGCAGGTGTTTCCTCCACAATTGCAGATGATCTCTTCCTTCTTAAAGGTCTTTTATACCAGTGAATTTTTTTTATTGGTTGTTCAAAACATTACAAAGCTCTTGACATATCATGTTTCATACATTAGATTCAAGTGGGTTATGAACTCCAATTTTTCCCTAAATATAGATTGCAGAATCACATCAGCTACACACCCTCAGTTTTACATAATGCCCTATTATTAACTGTTGTATTCTGCTACCTTTCCTATCCTCTACTATCCCCCCTCCCCTCCCCTCCCCTCCCATCTTCTCTCTCTACCCCATCTACTGTAATTCATTTCTCTCCTTCTTTATTTTCCCATTCCCCTCACAACCTCTTATATGTAATTTTGTATAGCAATGAGGGTCTCCCTCCATTTCCATGCAATTTCCCTTTTCTCTCCCTTTCCCTCCCATCTCATGTCTCTGTTTAATGTTAATCTTTTCTTCCTGCTCTTCCTCCCTGCTCTGTTCTTAGTTGCTCTCATTATATCAAAGAAGACATTTGGTATTTGTTTTTTAGGGATTGGCTAGCTTCACTAAGCATAATCTGCTCTAGTGCCATCCATTTCCCTGCAAATTCCATGAATTTGTCATTTTTAAGTGCTGCGTAATACTCCATGGTGTATAAATGCCACATTTTTTTATACATTTATCTATTGAAGGGCATCTGGGTTGGTTCCACAGTCTAGCTATTCTGAATTGTGCTGCTATGAACATCGATGTGGCAGTATCCCTGTAGTATGCTCTTTTAAGGTCTTCAGGGAATAGTCCGAGAAGGGCAATAGCAGGGTCAAATGGTGGTTCCATTCCCAGCTTTCCCAGGAATCTCCATACTGCTTTCCTAATTGGCCTCACCAATTTGCAGTCCCACCAGCAATGTACAAGAGTACCCTTTTCCCCACATCCTCGCCAGCACTTGTTGTTTGACTTCATAATGCCTGCCAATCTTAGTGGAGTGAGATGGTATCTTAGGGTGGTTTTGATTTGCATTTCTCTGACTGCTAGAGATGGTGAGCATTTTTTCATGTACTTGTTGATTGATTGTATGTCCTCCTCTGAGAAGTGTCTGTTCAGGTCCTTGGCCCATTTGTTGATTGGGTTATTTGTTATCTTATTGTCTAATTTTTTGAGTTCTTTGTATACTCTGGATATTAGGGCTCTATCTGAAGTGTGAGGAGTAAAAATTTGTTCCCATGATGTAGGCTCCCTATTTACCTCTCTTATTGTTTCTCTTGCTGAGAAAAAAACTTTTTAGTTTAAGTAAGTCCCATTTGTTAATTCTTGTTATTAACTCTTGTGCTATGGGTGTCCTATTAAGGAATTTGGAGCCTGACCCCACAATATGTAGATCAGAGCCAACTTTTTCTTCTATCAGACGCAGAGTCTCTGATTTGATATCAAGCTCCTTGATCCATTTTGAGTTAACTTTTGTGCATGGCGAGAGGAGGGGATTCAGTTTCATTTTGTTGCATATGGATTTCCAGTTTTCCCAACACCATTTGTTGAAGATGCTATCCTTCCTCCATTGCATGATTTTAGCCCCTTTATCAAATATAAGATAGTTGTAACTTTGTGGATTAGTCTCTGTGTCCTCTATTCTGTACCATTGGTCCACCCGCCTGTTTTGGTACCAGTACCATGCTGTTTTTGTTACTATTGCTCTGTAATATAGTTTGACATCTGGTATCGCTATACTGCCTGATTCACACTTCCTGCTTAGAATTGCTTTTGCTATTCTGGGTCTTTTATTTTTCCATATGAATTTCATGATTGCTTTATGTATTTCTACAAGAAATGCCGTTGGTATTTTGATTGGCATTGCATTTCTATAGAGAACCTTTGGTAATATCGCCATTTTGATGATGTTAGTTCTGCCTATCCATGAACAGGGTATATTTTTCCATCTTCTAAGATCTTCTTCTACTTCTCTCTTTAGGGTTCTGTAGTTTTCATTGTATAAATCTTTCACATCTTTTGTTAGTTTGATTCCCAAGTATTTTATTTTATTTTTTTTTTGAGGATATTGTGAATGGAGTGTTTTTCCTCATTTCCGTTTCACAAGTTTTGTCGCTGATATACAGAAATGCCTTTGATTTATGCATGTTGATTTTATATCCTGCCACTTTGCTGAATTCATTTATTAGTTCTAGTAGTTTTTTTGTAGACCCTTTTGGGTCTTCTATGTATAGAATCATGTCATATGCAAATAGTGATAAGTTAAGTTCTTCTTTTCCTATTTTTATGCCTTTAATTTCTTTCATCTGTCTAATTGCTCTGGCCAGTGTTTCGAGAACTATATTGAATAGAAGTGGTGATAGAGGGCATCCCTGTCTTGTTCCAGATTTTAGAGGGAATGCCTTCAATTTTTCTCCATTCAGAATGATGCTAGCCTGAGGCTTAGCATAGATAGCTTTTACAATGTCGAGGTAAGTTCCTGTTATCCCTAGTTTTTCTAATGTTTTGAACATAAAGGGATGCTGTACTTTGTCCAATGCTTTTTCTGCATCTATCGAGATGATCATATGGTTCTTATCTTTAAGTCTATTGATGTGGTGAATAACATTTATTGATTTCCGTATATTGAACCATCCTTGCATCCCAGGGATGAATCCCACTTGATCATGGTGCACAATTTTTTTGATGTGCCTTTGTATCCGATTCACCAGAATTTTATTGAGGATTTTTGCATCTAGGTTCATCAGAGATATTGGTCTGTAGTTTTCTTTCTTTGAGGTGTCTTTGTCTGGTTTCGGAATCAGGGTGATGTTGGCCTCATAGAATGAATTTGGAAGAGCTCCCTCTTTTTCAATTTCCTGAAATAACTTGAAAAGTATTGGTTAATTCTTCTTTAAAGGTTTTGTAAAACTCCGCTGTATACCCATCCGGTCCTGGGCTTTTCTTGGTTGGTAGTCTTTTGATTGCTTCTTCTATTTCATCCATTGATATTGGTCTGTTCAAATTGTGTGTATCCTCCTGACTCAGTCTGGGCAAATCATATGACTT